TTTAGGTGGGGACTCTGTCAAGGTTTGTGGAAAGGAATTGTGGACGTTCCCTGAAAACACGTCTTGGATTCCAAAGATATGTCATCTGTAACACGGGGTTTCGCATATGTGCGAGGTTACAAGAATGATTTGTAATACTGCCAAAGTGATGTTCATTGGAAACATATGAGCTGTAGTCTAAACTCCTTCAGGAAGGTTATATAGGGGATTTTTCAGGGGAGTATTATAGAGGTTGTTAGGGGGGATACTAGGGGCCTAGACTATGGCTTGCATGTTGTCGTGGTTAGTAGCGTTACTTAATCATGTAGCATGCAACTGCGATGAGATGTGACTATGTCGCAGAGCAAACTCTCCAAGCATGAAGGTTTATCCATGAGGGTTTCTGTTTTTTATTCAAGGCGTAGTCTGTGGCATGTGGAAGGTTATTCGTTCTCTCGTGCCAATGTATGTAGCAGCAACATAATTAGCAACGGAGTCATAGAAGCTTGATTTCTTCAGGAAAGAAGGATTCCTTGTACAGGGCCATTCAGGAGTACATCCATGCGGGCACCAGGAGCATGCCAGACAAAAAAAATCCCTGACTTGGCAGTTGGAAGCTTGCCAAGAACATAAATGATGCATGGAAGGAAGATCAAATTGCCAGGCACAACTACACACACTGATGTGGGGGAACAGTGCATTACATTGTCAAGTGGCGCTAAACCTAAACGCTAAACCCCGAACCCTCGAAAATCCCAAACCCGAAACCCTAAACCCGAACTCCCCTAAACCCTACACCCTAAAATTAAACCCCAGGGGCACCGGCACCTCCGGATCTACACCGGGCTCCCCCTGCAGCTGCCAAACTGTCCCCATCCACTGCTTGAGGGAGAGATCCTGCAGTTAGGGTTTAGGGTCCCGGGGATTGGGTTTTAGGGTTCAGGGTCGCGTCATTCGCAGGAAAGCCAAGATCGTTTTCATCGTGGTAATGGCTACTCATTGTACTAGTGCATAATACTACTGTTCCTATTGCTGCTATTATTGCATGTACCTACTAAGCCCCATCAACCTTCAGATACGAGATTTATGGGAAGTCTTTAGGGATTCCACGGGGTCATACTGGGAGTTTCCCAAGATCAGGTTTTCAGGGGGTCCCTATAAAAAGGACTGTATGAGGCTGCACACGTCCAACTCTGTATCTAATTGTCATCAGACTGGCAAGTCTGGCCTCACCAACCTTAACATCTTCCAAAACGCATGATTAGCTGAACAAGGCCTACCCCAAACCCCGAACCCTAAAAGCATTTATCCTGGACAGGCCAAGGCCTCAAATGTAGCCTGTAGACTTTTCAGATTTCTTCAGTCAGTCCTACACATCATCACGCGACTCTAAACCCTAAACCCTAAGCCCCTAAACCCTAAACCCTAAACCCCTAAACCCTAAACCCTAAACCCCTAAACCCTAAACCCTAAACCCTAACCCCTAAACCCCTAAACCCCAAAGGCAGCACTGCAAAACCGAGCCGTGCACCCTATGCGCCACATCAAACATGCTTCGTGGTGCTCAGGAACAGCTCGGCACTGTTTCAAATGGATACCTGGACCCCAAAAGTATGTAAAATAATGGCCCTTAAGGGCTATTATTATGGGTTTAGGGCTATTATTTCACATACTTTTGGGGCTTAGATACAGCTCAGCTTCAAACCATTTGGGGCTTTGGGTTTAGGGCTTCGGGCTTAGGGTTTAGGGCCCTTAAACCTCAAACTGTCTAGGCCTCGACCACACATCCAACAAAAAAACAACCCTCAACTGACAAAGACACCTTAATTTGCCCAGCCCAAATACTGAAGCTGAGATATGCTTGATTATGAAGGTCCCTCTTAGGGATTATAGGATAATCGAGGGTCAAATGGAAAGAAGATGAGACATGAAATGAACAATTTCAATAAATTCTGTTTAGCGTTTAGGGTTTGGGGCTAGAGTAATGGAGAATCTAAGTGCTGCCTAGTCCCCTACGACATTATGGCGATCATTAAGAATAATAGTAATAGTAATAACAACAATAATAATAATAGCAAAAAATACTACCAATAATAATAATAATAGTAATAGCAATAATAATAAGAACAATAATAATAGTAATAGTACTAGTAGTAATAATATTAACACTGGAAACTGATATTCTGGCGCTCCTATTGGAGGGGGGGGTCCTCGCCAGTCAACAGCGGGCGAACTGCATCTGCAAGGCCACCAGCTCGGTCGGTCTGCGCAATCAAAAGTCTAACTGGAGGGCTCCTACGGTAGGGATCCAAATAGCCCAATGTAGGTAATAGATACAGACTTCAGGGCGCAATGTAGGTATCATTTGTGCACTTGGATCCCTAGGGGTTTGGTTTGGTAGGGGATAAAGGAATGTAATCCTTGTATAGCCTCTGTATAAAACCTTCCCGTTTTCCCTACTAAATGTCAGCAAGTAATTCAGCATCATACAAACTGTACTAACAACAGATGCGCAGCTATCAGGTTCATCTCTCCGCTGCTGACCATATGATGATGAGTTGACTATGATTCTGATGACGAAGATGATGGTGATGACGAAGGTGATGGCGATGACGATGATGATGATGATGATGATGATGATGCTGATAATGATGATGATGGTGATGATGGTGATGATGGTGATGATGGTGATGATGGTGATGGCATTGATGATGACGGCGATCGCCGTGGCCGATGGCCGGGGGCGATGGCCGTACCAATTTTCATAGTAGCGCGATTGCAGCTGCAATAATGCTGATGATTATGATGGGGTTTGTGATGGTGATTCTGACTCAAAGTTATGACCACGATGCTGAGATAGGAAAAGCGGTGGCAACCGCACTGCCGAATGTGCGAGCAGATTTGGGACTTTGGCGACGCAAGCGGTCGCGCATGCCGGGATGGGAGATCTAGATCCAAGATTTATGGTTTACGTTTTAGGGATTAGGGTTGAGGGTTTAGGAGATCTCTGATGTCCACATTTCGGCTTAGCAGATTTACATATCGGCTACGAAATCTCTGGGCTTTCTGGCTGGGAAACATTCGCTGAGCTTACAATTTGAGTCCTGAGCTTCTGGAAGTCTGGAACTTTGCAGGGCACCTACTGTTGATGGAGGAAAATTTGCACCACCCCTTATAGCCACGGTATTTAAGGTTTAGGGGAGGATGGTAATACTTGCGCTTAGGGGATACTATGCCGGCCAAGATCTTCTCCATCCAACGTATGTGATTCCATCGTATAATTCATACAACCCCTATATGACCCCATATCATCCCTCTATCCCCTTAGAAGGATTGAACTCATCCTCCGCATGTTGGGTGGCGTGCTCAGACTGTACCGCAGGGCTGTGGGTGTAAAGCCAAAGCGCGCTCCTCCCTAAACCCTGAACCCGCTTAAGCCCCCTCAACCCTGCCCTAAACCTTCCAACCCCCCTAAATCCCCCAAACTCCAAGTCTAAACTGTAAAGCCCGACCCTTCCCAGTTGCAAGCCTTAGGCACAGAGGCGGTAAGACCCAACCCATTCCAGCTGGCGTCCGGGTCCTGGGTTTCAGGGCTTGGTTTAGGTTATTGAGATCTAAGGGCGGGTACATGGGGATTAGTATATAGGTTCTAGGGGTCAGGGCTTAAGGCTTAAGGTCTAAGGATTTAGGTTGTGGATAATGGAGTCCGTTCCAGCTGGCATCCAGATCCTCGGCGACACAACGTAGGGGTTAACACGGAATAAATGGAGAATCATAGAAAATAGCAAGGCACAAGAAATGTAGCAGCCATAGCATTTAGGTGTTTTTGTTTTTTGTGCTTTTTGTGCTTTGAGATTTTGCGTTTGTGGTTTGGAGTTTTGAATTTTGGGTTCAGGGCTTAATGGGGGAGGGTTCTTCGGCCGGCTGTTGGTTTGGCTTGGACGGTTTTTGCTACCGGGTTTAGGCCCTGGCTCAAAACCTGCAGCTGTGTGCCCCACATCCCGAAATCCAACGAGGAACCCTCAGCGTAAGCTTCTTTACCTAGACCTCCTGAAAGGGTTTCAGGAATACCTAAAGTTATAGCCGATGTACTCATTATTTAGGGGCTGAAGGCCATTATTATGAGTATTTGAGAGGTCTGATGTAGACCTGTGATGAATAACCCCCCTTTCTAAGGGCCTTAATATTAGAATCCCCATTCTCCCCATTAAGGGGGGGGGGTTTATCAGCTACGGATCTACACTCCCTAAACCCTAAACCGTAAACCCTTAAGAACGGACGCGTCTGGAATGTCCCAACCCGAGCCAGGCCGGCACTGTCAGACACTTCAACAACCCTAAACCCTGAACCTCAAAAGTATGTAGAATAATGACCTTTTGGGCTATGTTTAGGAAGTGTTTTGGGCTATTATTTTACCTACTTTTGGGGTTCAGGTACTTACATAGGGCCCTACCTAGACCCTCCAATGTAGTACCTTTTGGTAGTCCTAAGAGGAATCCTAACCAAAAAACCATACCAAACCCAAAAAGGAACTACAGTGGACGGGCTAGGCAAACCCTAAATCGACTATCCGGATTGAAGAGTCCTTTGTCAACCTCCCAACCACGGCTGGCATTTACCAGAGCTCTTGTGGCAATTCGGGACTCAAGCGAGTATGCTGCGTACGCTTGTACGATTTCTACTACAAGGGGTGAACAATCACTTCAAACTTCAGGCTTCGTTCGAACCAAGATGTGATACAGAGAAAACGCATGCAACAAGTGCACCCTGCTGCCGGGCATTGGGCAGCTACGAATTCCATGCCTGTTTGGCAGCACTGGATCACGTCGCCTGACTCATTGGCTGGTAAGTGCCCTGCATCTTCCAGGAGGTCTGGTAATGACCCAGGGGAGCGGCTGGCCAATTCCAGCAGAAGTAGCGCATCCGCGTAAATGTATAGAGCACCGGCCAACTCTGCAGAGAAACCTGGTCAAAGAAAACGCACGGAATATTGCTAAACTACTACAGGACATGGAACTGCTTCAGCAAACACCAGGTGCGTGTAGCAAGAGGAACACCGCCGGAAAGGAAAGCCAGATCATCAGATTGGACCCATGTTTGATTGCTGTGAGCCACAGCGCATCAAAGGACCAACAGGTCACACCCAGCATCATCGATTGCGACGGTCGCTGCATAATTGAAGGCGTCCAATAGAAGAAGTCCCTTGTGGCCTCTGCAGGCGTCAAACTGAGCCACACCTTGACTGTTGGAAAAAACTGACATCGATTCTTTGAAAGATACACATGAGTAGTGTTTTTTGGGTGGTTGAACCTGGTAGGATTATATTCCTCATATGAATAATATACCCAACGGGAGGATATAATCTTATTCTATATTGCGTATCATAGTATCCCCAAATGAAATACTACTCACATGCCGCCGTTGTGGAAAGCTAGCACCCCGGCCCTGAAATCCTTCGACCCAGAAGTTCCTATGTGGCTCCTGTTTTGGTTGGTTTACGGTTATTTCTTTTTCACCCTGAGCCATAAACCCTAAACTCAAGACCTATAGGCCCGATACCCGAGCCTGTTCTCCTACAGTAATTGTCCTAAGTGTTATTTCCTTGCTCTGTGGCCGGTTTTTCTATGGGCCCTCCTGCGAGGGTCCTGGACTGTCAGGGCCATTCTGCAAGCTAATTTGGGGAACTAGGGGGCCTGGGCCATGGAGGGGGGCAGCGGCTCATTCCAAAAGGAGGCAAGCCTTCAAGCCTCTCATCTCTCAACGGGCCCAGCAAAAGCCCCCCACAAGACGCAAAGGGCATTAGGGCTTCAAGCGCTTCAGAAACTTCCGTGGCTCTTAAGGGGCCTTCCAATCCCCTCCTGGCCTCTCCTGACGTCCCTCCGGGCCTTCCGGATCCCTTCAATGACGGCACCCGCAGAATTAAAGATAAATTTATGTTGTTGACCAAAATGGACCTAATCGAGTTCCATAACTTCATTTCACAAAAAAACAAGCACGCACGCATGATCTGGTGGTTTCCCAAAATCGCGGGTACTCTTTTAGGGGGTCCCCATATCAAGGATTACAATTGTTGGGGGGTTTGTATTGGGGTCCCCCTGTTTTGGGAAACTACCTCTACTGCCACCGCGCCACTGCATGGCAAACCCTAAAACCTAAACCCTACTTCCTAAGCCCGGAACCCTAAGCCCTAGACCTTAAACCCTAAACCCGAAGCCCTGAACCTTAAACCCTAAGCCCCAAGCCCTAAACCTTAAACCCTAAGCTCTAAACCCTAAAGCCAAAAAAACATATGCATGGCAAAGGATGGAGAAACAATGGCGCAGGTGGTGTACATCACGGCATGGGCGCAGCCAATGAGCGAGAACCAACTCAAAGTGACCTGCCAAGTTTTCCAAGGAACTACTCTTGATACCCAAAATCCTGCATGACCTTAGTCTACTAAACCCTACAGTAAACCTTAAACCCTAAACCTTAAACCCTAAACCTTAAACCCTAAGCCCTAAACCCGTAAACCCTAAACTAAACCCTAAATCCTCATCCCGTGGATTGAGGGCACTTAAGGTCATCTGCGATTTTTCGGTATTAATCGTGCTGAGTGTTCCTTCCTTACCTGGGCTCGGAATTCTACTGTTGATGGAGGAAATCTTGCACCACTTAGAGCCCCTAAACTACTGTAATTCCTAGGACTTTTGGGACTTACATGTCATCCATCAACAGTAGGGCTCTGGGTTTAGGGGCTTCAAGCGGATCTGGACTCCAATCCTGGCACTCCTGGGGGCCCCAGGCTACTGCAGATTGCCTGGAGCTAACGAAATTACAGGGGTTATAGTCCCCCTTAAGTAGATGAAAGATTGGGAATATGGGGATCTTGTTATAATATCCCCAAAGCCATAGTCTTTCTACTTGAGGGGGAGTATAGGGTTTAGGGGTATTACCCTAACAATGGAGAAGCAAACGGAAACTGAGCTTATATAGCCTGTTTAGATTATGGAGTATCTATTCGGAGGGGGGGTCCAAATTAATAGTTGCCAATATTGTTTTGATTTGACCTAGAATGGCATGACACCAGTCGGAGAGGAGACTACACCTTTTGGGATGATGGGAGAATCACAAGGCTTCGGGTTTTCGTAATGCCCGGCATGGATCGTGTTGCAGGGAAACTCGCTGCAGTCGATCCACTCGGAAGCATGCACATCTTCCCCATCAATGGCCTGGCGGTTCCATGTGAAACTTGACATGCAATTTTACAGAGCTAGAACAGCGACAGGGTCGTTCTAGGTTAGGTTCCCTAAGCCCTACCCCCTGGACTGTCAGCCCCTACCTCTAGTCTCAACTCTTCTTCCAGGAAGTGTAACACATGCATCAACAATGGCGTAGCAGATTGCTAGCGAGAAGGGTAGGGGACATGGGAGGATTCATGGAGGTTGGCTGCGGCTCATTTCACCACAGCGTTCATACAAAGGGTTTAGGGTTTAAGGGTTGAATTGCACCTCGCTCAAGCATTTTGAGGCTTTGAGTTGTTCTGCAAAGTAGTCATGACCTTACCTGCTTTCTGATTTCTACGATCAGGCTGCCTTGGAATGACTGAGGCGCCATCCAGAACCATTTTCAAGTTGCTACGATGGGTACGATCATTGCTGTGACAGCCCTTTCATCCCCACCAGATCGAGGTTTGGGCAGTTCTATTCAATTTTCCACTCGACTCTTGTTTCCAGCTGATTCTCCACAAGTCCTTATATGACCTTGTGTAAGCCAACGTATAAATATTTGTATATATATATATATATGCACATATATATATCTATATACATGTATAGATATATAAATATGTTCCAAAATCATGCAAATGAGATCCACATGTGTATGGTTATATGTAAATCCCATTTGACCCTGTGTCCCGGTGTTATTTGACCCCCTCCTAAACCCTAAACCCCAAACCAATATGCCACTGTCAGCCTCCCCCGTCTTCTCCATTGTCAAGATCAGAGCCGCAACGACACCGATCGTGGTAAACACGTTCACCATCTTCTCCCGAAGATCCTCAATCTCCTCCAAAGCATTGAAGGGTTGCCAAGTGTCCCTTTCAAGGGTCATGTAAGGATACATCTATATGTATATATATATAGAGTATTAAGAATAGAACATTTAAAATACAGGGGCTTGAATAGGGTTCAATATATGAGGTACAGGGCAGACAGGGACGGGGCCACATTTTTGAAAGGTGCCCCTCAGCTTGTCAGAGGCGGGGCAGCATACCGCCGCCGAGGGACTTTACTACTAGGAACCCCAAACAGGGAACCCCAAGAATAACGTAGGAACATAATAGGAATATACCTACCAGGGTCCTTGCATTCTATTGTATACCTACTATATTCTTGGGGTTTCCTGCTTGGGGTTCCCATTAGAACCCTTTTCGGTTGTAATCAAGCACACAACAACAATTTTCCACAAGCGGGGTTGCAATGGTCTGCATGTACCTCTTGGAGAATTCTTAACTTAACAATGAAGACGGAACTTCCTTGCTATACGAAAGGAAGAATCAGGAATCAAAACCAAGCCTGCATTGAAAAACATGAAATTGAAGGCACCAAGTAGAGCAGGGAAACCTTTGCGAGACAAAAGACCGTGCGACCTCAGGCTACGCAGCAATTTCCAGGGGTCCCACCCGTCCTTGTCATCCGTGTGCTCCAGGACATGTAGCAAGACCGTCATGGCAATTGGTTTGAAATTCAAACGTCGGGCCTACGCTTCTGCACTTCGAAGATGCTGCAGATTCAGTCAGCAGCTGAGGAAGAAATGTGGGTGAGACAAGCGGTCATGTATTCCTCAAACGCTCCGTACTGCTACCGCTGGACAGTTCGAACACATCAAGGGAAATGAAGAAAACTTTGGCGGGAGCAAGAAGGCATGCATTCCTATTGGTTTCCCAATGTGGAACTGCCCCAAACCCTAAACCCTAAGCCCTAAACCCTAAGCCCTAAACCCTAAACCCTAAACCCTAAGCCCTAAGCCCTAAGACTTGGAGATTGCTTGGCTTGCAGTCTTGGGGAAACGTTGGATTTGGGGTTTGCGGGTCTCTTAGGATGAGGGGCACCACCAGGTCCTGGGTTTAGGGTTTTGGGGTTTACCTAGACCCCCCAAGTACCCTAAAATAGGGTCTATGTAGCTTCTATTTGGGGATATTTAGGGTCTATAGAGGCTACTTGGGGGTCTAGGTAGGGTTTAGAGTTTAGGGTTTCGAATTCAGGGTTTAGGGTGTAGGGTTGTTTTGGGGTTTAGAGTTTAGGGCTTAGGGTTCAGGGTTTAGTGAGTCCTGCTATTGCAAACCCTCCACATGACCGCGTGTATAGAGGCAAGGTCTGCGATCATTCGCTGTCTTCCCTTCATGCCGCGTAGTTAACGTGACTAAGAGCCATGAATCACGCAGCCTAAAACGGTCCCTGAACCCCAAACCCTAATCCCTAAACCCTAAGCAATAATTCCTATAAACCCTAATCCCTGAACCCTAAACCCTGAACCACAATCCCTAAACCCTGGCCCTAACCCCTAATCCCTAACCCCTACACCTCCAGACTCCGAGTAAACTCCTAGTATCCCCCTTAATAACCCCTAGAATAGTCCCCTATATAATCCCCCACTATAACCCCCTTTAAGGAGTTGAGATTATGGCTCATATGAGCAATAATCTAAACGCCTTAAAGGGGGTTACATAGGGGATTATATAAGGGACTACTATAGGGGCTATTAAGGGGGATACTAGGAGTTTAGACAATGGTACATATGGGTACTTAGGAGCCGTTGGTAGTCTGAGTGCCCAGCCCCGAGTCGGCTGGCATTCCGCCACCAGCCGAAGCCAAAGAGCAGGGACGCCACCGGCTTCATCTTGGCATTTTGAGGCTTAGGGTGTTTAGGGAGTATTTAGGGAATTTAGGGTATTTAGGGTATGTTGGTGTTTGGGGTATTTCGCATATTTAGGGTATTTAGGGTTTAGGGGTTAGGGTTGAGGGTTGAGGGGTCTAGGGTTTGGGGTTTAGGGTTGAGGGTCTGGGGTTTAGGGGGTTGGTTTTAGGGTCTTGGGCTTCGGGTTTAGGAACTAGGGTATATAGAGTTTAGGGGATTCTCAGCTTTCAGAGGACCCAAGAACCATCAGGGGCGGCTAAGAACATCAAGAACTAACCCTAAAACCTAAACCTTAAACCCTTAACCCTAAACCGCGTGGTTGAAAGACGTCAGGGCTTCCTTGGGATGCATTCTTGAGGGGCAAGGTCCCTCTATGACCCGGCGATTTTTCGGGTTTGGTGGTTTTAGGGTTTAGGGTTTAGAGCTTTAGGGTTTAAGGGTTTAGAGTGCGGCAACAACCATGCTGCCGAAACTGCCCTCGGGGCTGACTTTTAGGCTCTGATCAGGAAAAGAGATCTGCTTATGTTGGGCTAGTCAGTATTTCCCGTAAAATGAATAGAACACCATATGGAACATGAAATGGAAAGTCATTATATAGGGTATAGAAAGGGTCAACTTTTCCCACAGAAGTAATGGACATGGGTTCCTAGTTGGGACTATAGTCGGGACTAGACTAAACTCGGGAAGGAAGCCCTGCGTCCACCCTTAATGGTCCCTTGAAACCTGATATTCACATAGGGCTTGGGGTTCAGGGTTTAGGAGCAACATTTTTTCAGGGGTTGGGGTCTTAGGGCTTAGGCTAGATGTTGCCCTGATAGAGGAGAGTCAGATGGAAAAGGACAGGAACTATTTAGGGTTTAGGGGCATAGGGCCAAACGGGGACTACGGCGGTATTGGGTATTTTGTAGGAACTCCCATGAGGATCCATTCCTTCATTCCTTGCTACCCAAAGGCAAGTTTTGAAAACTTTCATACATGCAGAATTCGTGGCAACATCTAAGGGTTCGCGCCTCATGTCTATTCAGGGTTTAGGGTTTGCGGCTCAGAAATGACATGCTGGGCTTCAAGCGCCCAAGGATTGTCCGGCCAGCTGTCAATCGTAGCTAGAAAGTGTTGTTTAGCCAGTACAACTACCATCTGCATGCTGCATGCTGGGTTACTATAGTTACGACACCCTACTGCAATCCCCTCAGGCCTGAAATCAAAACTCTGATTTTGATAGTTCCTAGGGGTTATCCCTGCACCCTAAACCCTAAACAAAAGAAACGCAAAAGATTCCTCGGGGAAAGGCCTTAACCCCTGGCAAATTCAGAGGCCCGAGCCCATGCTGAGTGTACACGCAAAGCCGTGGGCTCCATCGAGAAGACCTGAATTCAGGGTTTGGCTCCCAAAATAAGGAGACCCCAATGTAGACCTCAGCACGGTAGAATCCTTATTATTGGGACCCCCATTAAAAAGGTACCCCTAATTTTGGGAAATTCCCATTCAGGATTTAGGGTTGAGGTTTTGGGGTGCCAACCACCCGTGACTTTTATGTCTGCCCGGCTCGGCACAGGGTTAAGCTTCCTTCCAAATCCTCATCTTCTCTTTGCAGGATGTTGTCTTGCTTTAGAGCATTCCATAATTGGGTTGTGCTTTTCTTGAGGCTCCTTTGAGAAACTCCTTCAAACATCTCAGGTGCCGGATGCATGGCAAAAACAAGTAGCAAAAGAATCTCTTGGGAACTGTAGGGTTTGGAGTTTAAGGGTTCAGGGAATATAGGGATAACAAACACCCAAACCCTAAACCCTCGGATTATGCTTTAATAACCCCTGGAATATTCCCGTATATAATCCCTATATAGTCCCCTGTGGAACCCCTTTAAGGAGTCATGGCTTACATGAAGGGAAACGAACGTGGAAACTACTTCGGTGCTGTTGACCTCATGGTAAGGAGCCCTCCGAAGGAAGAGCCAGGCTCCCATACAACGATGGAGTAGAAGGGTTTAGGGTTTAGGGATTTAGGGTTTAGGGTCTAAGGTTTAGGGTTTAAGGTTTAGGGCTTTTGGCTCTACCTGGACCGTGGATGTCCTACCTTTTTGGGAGCATGCCCTACAAATTTGTTGGACACAACCCAAACAAAGAAGGACATCCGGGTCCAGGTAGAGTATAGTACGTACCGTCATACAGTGGGAGGGATGTTCATTTTGAACCCTAAGTCCTAAACCTAAACCTTAACCTCAAGGGGGGTGTTTTTAGGGCCCCTAAACCCTACACCCCAAAGCCTAAGCCCCAAACCCTAAACCCTAAACCCTACAAAGATGGAGTTGGGTGACTCAGCAGCGCTGCCCGAAATGTACGTAGATTTTGCTTGAAGGGGGTATGCAAACGACTCCCCACAGTCCTCCATCCAAACAACACCCCTGCCTTGAAACGTTTACGTGCGCGGCTTAGGGCTTAGGGTTCAGGGTGAATTGACTTATGCAACAACCCTAAACCCTAAACCCTGAACCCTAAATTCTAAACCCTAAACTCTAAACCCTAAATTCTAAACCATAAACCCTAAACCCTAAGTTCTAAACCCTAAACGTGAACCCTAAATTCTAAACCCTAAACCCTAAATTCTAAACCCTAAACCCTAAACAAGCTCTTGTCTTGGCTGCCAACCAGTTGGCTTCGCGCGCAGTACTTGAAGTCCAGATGATGCATGCCTCCATTCTGCACAAACACTTTACTCTACAGGGTTTAGGGTTTAGGGTTTCACACGTCAGTGCGCTGTCTTACTAGTGCTTAAGGCGGAGTGGGGCAGTGAATATTGGGGTTTTATAAGGTTATGTATGGGGATTCTATAGGGATTAGTATAAGGATCCACTCCCCCACTCTCCCTTTAGCACCCGTAGGCTGTTCAAAACGTCAGGCTTGAAACCGCCACTATGCAGTCCATGTCCTGAGTGCTGTAATAAGTCGCTAAACCCTAAACCCTAAAACGGGCTGGGACCGACTGTGACATGAAGCCAACTACATGCAATATAGGGGATAATATAGGGTTTAGGGTGTAGGGGCTTGCTAAAGGAGATACCAGGAGTTTGGACTATAGCACATATACAGAACACATTGCCCTTCGCAGAATATCATAGAACCTAAGGG